CTATAGCTCAAATTTATTTATTTATTTATTGAGTTGGAGTCTCACTCTGTCACCCAGACTAGAGTGCAGTGGCCGTTCCCAGCCAGGCAGCCTCAACCTGCTGGGCTCCGGCGATCCTTCTGCCTCCGCCTTCCAAGTAGCTGGAACTACAGGCGCGTGCTACCACGCCCGGCTAATTTTTTTGATTTATTGTAGAGATGAGGTCTCGCCAAGTTGCCCAGGCAGACCTCGAACCTGCAGGCTCAGGCAATTCACTCACCTTGGCCTCCCAAAGCATGGGATTACAGGTTGACCCACCGGGCCCGGCCAAGCTCAAATTTACTAAATTATCTGTTGTTCATACGTAAATAGCAGAACATGGTGTCGGTGTTGGAGAAAAAATTATTCATGACACTTATAAAAGACAGTAAGGAAGATTTTATTCAAGGGGAACAATAGGGTTTTTTGCAGGTGAGAAAGACCAAGCTCAACTCCAAACACAATAGAAAAATGGGAATTTATGGCCAAGGATCAAGGAGGGGAGGTGAGATCAGTGAAGGGAAAGTTACTGAGCAGGAGCATCATGGGTAAGAGGGTTTCTGGCTAACCCAACCTGACAGGATACTTGGAGGCAGGCCAGGGTAAAGATATCATCTGGGGCATGGTGGAGAATGGAGGAACCTGGTAAGATATTGAGGATGATCAGATATACGTGGTGTCAGATTCTGTCTAAACTGGCTTAGCACGAATCTTGTTAAAATTGGGCAAGGTAGAGACAAACACATAAGCCCAACAGTCAGGACCTAGTTGAGAAGAGAGTTCAGATGAACCTGACTAGAGTTTAGCCACAAAGAGAATCTTCATTATTGGTCAAAAAAGTTGGATAAGTAATGAAGTAATTAGACATTAGTTGATATGTTATCTAAATTATTAATAATTTAAGTGAATTGGCATCTTTTCTCACTTGAATTTTATAAAATCTAAATAATGTAAAAATAGAACCCTACAGCAGTGTTAAGCATTGGGATTTCTAAATGAAGGCTCTTAAGTCTTCTCTTGAGGACCCCAAGCTCCATCTTCGAAAACCCAGGGTCTGATTTTTCACAGGTAAGACCAGCTAAGCAAAAAGAAAGAGAACCAGAAAACCAGTGAAATTAAGGGAGCAGGCCCAGCTATATACTTTGTAGGACCTGGTGAAATTAGGGGACCCAGTGTTCAAAAAGCAAGGATAAAGTACTGTTAAAATTATGAATATATAACTGATACGAGTGTGGGCTATAGGCTCACTCCCACCCAGACTCCCTCCAACTTACCTGGGCTCCGCAAGGCCGCCTGCCAGTAGCAGATTTGATGACCATTATGCCACACCCGAGAAACCCTGGTGTAAGGCTGTGAAATGCTAATCCCTTAGAGAGATTACTGCTGGAGTCAGTTCGGGGAGAGGGGTCAGGAAGGAGAGTGGGACAAGGCATAACAGCAGGGCAAGTTCGTTGCTGAAAACCCATCCCAGGAAGGTAGGACCCTTGGGAGCTGAGGCTTCAACTAACCCCCAGGTCCTAGCATGCTACATTGTCCCATCGGACCTCACTTACAAAGCATAAGTTTAAAGATAAAGCTATTGAGCTTGAGGAGAGCAATTGCAAAGCTCCAATAACAGGCCCTTCTGAGGGTGTGTGTGGGTCCTGGGGGATGATAAGCTGGGCAACGGCATAGGCCCCATAAGCCCACCCTGCTGGGGAGCTTAAATTGTACTTCGAATCTTGTGGGAGAGATGATGAAAATGTCATCTGCATCTCCTCTAGCAGCTACAAGCTGTAGCTGAACTACAACATGGGGCTTCTAAATAAGAACTCTTAAACAGCTGAATAGAAATTGTGAGATGACTGCAAAGCTAAAGATGAGACAGTAAGGAGTGGGTGTTCCTGTCTCATCTTTATGTGTTACCTATTGGGTGCAATGATCACTATCTGGGAAGTGAGTCACCTGAAGCCCAATCCCCACCAGTATGCAACATGTCCATGCAACAAACATGCACTTGTACCTCTTGGATTAAAATGATTTTTCAATTCAATGAGTCACCTGCCAAAATAAATTTTGAAAAAGAAATAAAAATGCGTGCCATGTACCTTGGAAACCAAAGCTAAATAAATGTCCACAAGGAGAGAACAATCTACAAGACTCAGATTTAGTTTCCTGTAAAGAGAACATTTTGAGAAATTTCATAGAGGGCCACTAACAACACCAAGGCTGGGACCACACTGTACCTCATCACATTTCTAAATGTTCCCCTCAAGGTTTTACTGGGAAGTACTCACTTGGAACTAAAAGTTACTGGTTTACAAGACCAGTGATTCTTTTTTGGAAGGCGGTGATTTGAGTCTATTAATACAGTCTGGGAAATTATCTGGTGTGAAACCAGCTAGAGAAGTGTGACCCCATGACTTCTGTGTTAGGAGGTCAACATAAAGTCTGCAGCTTCTGCTGCAGAGAAGATGAAAAAGAGTAGAATTAGTGCATTGTAGAATTCAGGGAATAGTTGGGAAGGAAAGAATAGCTCAGAAAAGGGATCAGACAGCATATCCTGAAGTTGATCTTTATACATAAAAAAATCAGCACTCTTCTGGATTTGGCATATTAGTGGGCAGGTTTATCTCAAGAAACTGACATTCTCTTTGCCTTGGAGAACAGTGGCTTCTGGTTCCTTAGTAAATTTGGAGTATTGACAACCTGTCTTGGTAAAACACCATTAAAAAGTTTCATCTCTTCAGTGGCATCATCTAAGTCCAAGATTAAAAAAAAAAATTAGACCAATCTAAATCAAACAAACGAATGTGGCATATAACCATGAAGTTGAAAGGGGAAAAATGAGCATGGATGACTCCAGATCTAGCTTTGAACAAGCCGGCAGGCAGCAGGTAGCCACAAGCTCAAGTGTGAACAAAGTTTACAGCGAGGAATGATCACCTTGGGCTTTGGTAACTATAAGACCAAGTGTCTAGTGAAGAAAAGGAAAAATGACCTGGCAAACTGGGAAGAGGTTTCCTACACGTCTGACTAAGAAATAGTGACTTTTAAAAGGATGCTTCTGTGAGCATCCATGACAGTGCGAGAAAGAAGAGAGAGAGAGTCCATGTGAGGAACAAGAAGGAAAGCCGAGGAAAAGGGTGCTGCCTAAAAAATGACGAGATGAAAAAGCTTTGAAATGGCTTTGCTCGATTCCTTGTCTGGAAGAACCAAGACTCGCCGACAAAAATGAGTCCACAGGCAAAACTAGAGAGCGATCTGAACCTCAGTTTTCTGATCCAACGTCCAAAGAACAAGTGGTCAAACACACACGCACACACAAGCTCGGTCTTGTAAACAGGAATACGCACTTGTAAACAGGAACCCTTGTGAAAGAAGTTTCGTGGTGGACTGAAACTCCTTTGAGTCGGCATGTAGTCTAAATTCCAGGAGCAACGGTTTGTAGAAGTATTCGCTTCAGTTTCTCCTTGGCGCTCCAGCCTCGCCGCCACACAGTCTCCTGCCCTTTCCTCAGCCTTACCAAGGACGCGGAGTCAAGGCGCTCCAACAGGACGCAATACCTGCAGTGTGGGAGGTGCAGGGAGGAAAAAAAAAGTTCTAAATCCATCCCTAGAAATCACTGTATAAGACCCTAACGGATTGAATACAAACTTCCTGAGAAATGGTTACGGAGTTTCGGCTTTCTTAAATTGTAAAGATGCAGACGTCTTAGAGATTGTTAACAGCAGTTTGGGGAGAAAATGTGGGACGGATCCAGAATTAAAACAGAAACTAGAGAAGGTGAATGGAAAGAAAATACACACAGACAAGATTACAAAGAAAAAGGCAGAAACCACAGAAAGGTAGCAGAGTGGCGCAGCGGAAGCGTGCTGGGCCCATAACCCAGAGGTCGATGGATCGAAACCATCCTCTGCTAGCATGGCCTTTTCCTTCACAATATTACACACAAGTTATTCTCTAACTGTCTAGCGCTGCTTCTTTACCTGTATGCAGTGGCGCTTAAACACACGGCGTGAACATTTAAAGACCTAATATGACCGAAGTCGTAAGCGCTATTTTAAATGTCTAATCCTTCCGGTCTTTAAATAGGATGGAGCTCAAGATAATATGAGGACTTAAAAAAAAAATCAAGGATAAATACGTAGTCTCCGCTTGTCGGTGGTGAAGGCGGACAGTGCGTTACCTGGTGGTTCCACTTTCACTTTCAGTGATGAACCGAAACGTAGGCCGAGAAATGGCTGAGTCTGCAAATGGGAGGTCGGAGGTAATGGAGGAGAGGAGCATGAACAGGGGAAAGGAGACTGGGGAGAGAGTAAAGGAAAGGAGAGCGCAACAAAAGCGAGGACGAGGTCGGGCGAGTTGAAAACAGAAGTACGAAAATCTTGGAGACAAAAGCAGGTGTCAAATTGGTTTGTCTGTGGCTGTGGCATTAAGATTCCGGGAGACCCCAACTCTGAAAGAGCTAGGAAAACACCGGAGGAAAACAACGGGAATTGAACCACCGGCCTACGGCTATAACCGTTTTCCTTCTTTATTCAATTTTTGATTCTCTTAAAGTTTCTTCCCAAGTCATTGGTGAAATGGGTACCTCTTGCCTCTAACCGTCTGGTAGTAAGCAGGTGAAAGAGCCTGTTCGTCTAAAGCCGCCTCTACCGAGCAGATGCGACCTCCAAGGACTCACGTTCTGTCATTAACTATGGGAATATTCACTACAGATTGGATCCTACTCTATTCGAAGACCGACTTTCTTCGTCATTCTCCCCCCCCCCGCCCCCTCCCTCGCCATAAATCCTCACATTGTTTATGTAACCCATGCACAGGTTGAGGGTGAAATAAATGTTCAATATCATAAAGCTCGACAGCAGTGCTGAGGCGCGGAGCATATGACCAGCGCCCTTGGAATCAGATCCTAGTAATTCTCAAAATTGTGAACCTCTCTAGCACTTCTTAGTGATCAATTTCTCATTTTCTTCTGTGAGAGGTGCACTTGCTGGGAAGCCTGGATAGCTCAGTCGGCAAAGCATCGGACTATTAATCTGAGGGTCCAGGGTTCCAGTCCCTGTTTAGGCGCTAGCAGGTGGTTTTATTTCAGTCCTTCTTAGGTCTAACATTAACAACCCATTAAGGATCATCTTGAGAAGAGGAGAAATAATAACAGTTAAAACGGACAAACGTGTGGCTTTCCCCCTCCCCAAGTTTCCAAGGGAAGTAAAAAAGGTCAATTGTATTAAAAATAATAAATTGGTGAAATGGGAAACGAGCAGCTTTAAAACTCCCTTGAAATGGCTCATTAATCCAGGCATGGGGGAACAGTTTGGGTGATCCTGACTAGAGTATAAATCTTTGAGAGCAGCGACCTTTGCAATAGTTGTCTCTGTGATTCCTTGCTGTTTGGACCAGTTCTTGCTACATAGATAATTTTGAGCTGCCATGCAAAAGTTCCTGGTTGAAAAATCCATTTCCAAACACTTTAAAAACAATCTCCTAGTTGTCTTTTCTGTCTATATTGCGTTTGCCATTACCTTGGATTTGTATGATGGTTAATGACCCTCACCATGCATTTCTAGTGCGGTGTTTAAAAGGTAGTAAGAGACCAATGTTGTTGACAGTGCTTTTGTCTTGAGATTAATGAAATTCAGTCAAATTACTTCACGTGAGTCCACTGTATTAGATCTTACCCTTTTCTTTTTTTAGATTGTATTATTCATTTGAAATAATTAGGCCCATACCATGTTGAAATTTTTGCCTGACCTTGTATATTTTATTTGTTTTTGTACATACATGATACATAGCATCATTTTCAAAGTAAAAACTATGCAAAGAGATATATTCAAAGAAGTGTCCTGTCTCTCATTCCTTCTTTCCTTCTGTTTCAACTCATTCCCAACTTACTCTCTAATAGGTAATTAGTATTACCAGTTTCTGGTTTATCCTCCTTGTAGCTTTTTTTTGAGTAAACTAGCAAATACATAATTTTTAAAAATGTTCTTTTCTTTCTTAGACTATAGATTGTAGACTACAGATATTGATTTGCACTTAATTTTTTTTGCTTTGCAACATGTCCTAGAAACGTCATGTCCGTTCATAGAGGCTATCCCCGTTCTTCTTTACAGTTGTGTAAGTACTTCACTGCGTGAAATTAACAATCTAACCACTCTCTTATGCTTAGCCATTTAGATTATTTCCAATATTTTGCAATTACAAATAATGCTGCAATGAATAAAAATATCCATGAGTATTTTCATTTTGTTGTATGTAGATTTTCAGGGTAAATGATTATAATTGGAATTATTGAGTGTAATAATTAATGCATACATAATTTTGTTAGACACAGTCAAATTTCCCTCCATAAAAATTGTTCGATTCACGTTTCTACCAGAAATAAATGAAAGTGCCTGCTCCCCATAGTCTCAACACACATTTTAACTTTTGCCAATCTGATAGTAGAGAAATGCTATCTTCATGTAGTTTCAATTTGCAATTCTTAATGCTTGAACATATTTTCATATATGCAAGAACATATATTTTATTTAACTATCTGTTAATGTATTTTATCCCACTATTTGTTAACTCTCTTTAGAGTTTGCTCATCATGTTTTTTATAACATATTTTTAAGTACTTAAATACATTTAATTTTGTTTTATTATATCTATATTTTAAGTCATAATTAGAAATTCTTCCTATATCCAGGTTACAAGGGAATTCGCACACTATCCTTTTTAATACTTGTGAATTTTCAATTTTTATATTTAGATTATTGATCCATTTGGAATGTATTCCCATATAGAGAGTGAAGTTTGAATTTATTTTGTTTCTTTCAATTGGCTAACACAGTGCTCCCGAATTTTTAATCAAAAAGTCCATCTTTGCATTTGTGGCTTGAAATACATGCTTTATCATATACTAAATGTTTGTGTGTGATTTGGTTTACTTCTAGACATTGTATTCTATTACTGGACTGTTTTCTACTTATTTATGGTTGCTATGGTGCTTTAATTATAGATTTAAGAGTATGTTTTAATATCTTACTGGGCTATCCCTCTCCATGGGATCAAGGCTTTCATTTCCACGGCTTCCAGGACTATTGACTGCTAAAGTGTCATAGTTGCTTTCACCTCTAGGAATAGCCTGCTGAAGATAATGCTCTCTCAGGATTGGAATCTCTTTGGGGAAAGCCACATTCGATGATCACAGTTTTGCTTCAATTTGGGACAATTCTGAAGGTGGCCTTCCAGAAGCCTCTGTTGTAACTTCTTCGCAGTTCCACTTTTTCTTTCCTCTAATTCTGTTTTTCTCTTATTCTTATAGGTGTCTTTCTCCTGTGCACTCTCTAATAAATTTTGTACATATAATCGATGTCTTAGAATTTGTTTCTTGGGAACCCAGATTAAGTCAGTCTCTGAAATAGAGTCATGATTTTTGTTTTCTTTTCTTTCTTCTTCTTCTTCTTCTTCTTCTTCTTTTTTTTTTTTTTGAGTTGGAGTCTCTGTTGCCCAGACTGGAGTGCAGTGGCATACTCATGGCCACCGCAGCCTCCACCTGCAGGGCTCGGGAGATCCTTCCACCTCAACCTTCCAAGTAGCTGGAACTACAGGCATGCACCACCACACCCAGCTAATTTTTTGATTTATTGTAGAGATGAAGTCTCACTAAGTTGCCCAGGCTGGTTTTGAACCTGTGTGCTCAGGTAATCCTCTCACCTCAGCCTCCCAAAGTGCTGGGATTATAGACATGAGCCCCCTAGCCTGGCTTGAGTCATAATTTTAGTATTATTTTCTTTTTATTGATAGAAGTATTTAAGTCTACATATTTTCCTCTGATTGCTGCTTTAGCAGTGTCCTGTGGAGTCTGTTATATAGTATTTTCATTGTTTTTGTTGCATAGAAATTTTATACCTTTTATTTATATCTTCCCTTTGGCCCTAGATTTTTAAATAAACTGCATAATTTTCAGGTAGTCAGAAAATGTTGTTTCTATTATTTCTACATTTTAGAATATACTGAGGTTTTGGAGGGGTGAGAGCAGCTAATATATAAACAATTTTCATAAATATACAATGGGAAATTTTTTCATTTCAGCATTTAGACCTCAAAAATCTTTGCATCAGAACTATCACACATCAACCAATAAACATTTGAGTTGTTTCTAGGGATTTAATATTTTGTGAGCACTTATGTATGTGGTATGGTACAGAGGTACAAGAATTTCTTGTGTGTATGTTCCTAGAAGACAAGTTGTGGATTTGTTAGCGAAAGGGTGAAGTCAGAACAGAGTCACTTAGCCAAAGAACAGCCATTTTAACATTGTTTAAGCTTTGTCATACTTTGCTAGCTCTCTGTCCCATTCCCCATTTCCTAATCATGAGCCAAGGACAGAACCAGCTTTCTGGGGGTAGCTATTGATAATTGTTTTGCATTTCCCAAGTATGTCTTGCACTAATTAATACTCTATTCTAGGTTACCAGCTATACAAGACCAAGCTGACCTAATTGCAATCAGCCTTTCGTGACTGCCCACCAGACCACCAGAGGCTGAATCCCCTGAATTCACAAGACTGGTTGTCCTGACAGCACCGAGGACACAAGACCAGTGTTATCAATACTCAGGAATGCAGCTGCTGGAAAGTTTTTTTTATCCTGTCTCCTTGATTAAAACTTTAAAAGCCCTCCTTCCTCAACCCCCTTGAGCAGAAATAAACTCTTTTGCTTTACTTTTAAGAATCTTTGCTTTATTTCTGTGGCACCAGCCCACCTTGCCTCAGTTTACCCTAACATTTGGTGGCCCTAAGAGGACCTTAACCTAACAGTTAGATGATGCAAATATTTGACTTTTTGAAGTAATGACGTTTTCCAAAGTTGTAAAAATGAATGCCTATACTAGTAATGTGTAAGAGATACTATATATCCAAATATCACCAACTGTTGAGTATCTACATATATTTGGATTTATACATTTAAATTTTTTTATAAATGTCACTCATCTATTTGATTATTTAGTTGATGTACTTGACTTATTAGTATGTGGGAGCTAGCTCTTGCAATTTTTTTGTCTTTCTACTTAACTAATTCCTTGAAACTCAGTTCAATTATTTGAAAGCCGTTGATCTTTGTCAATGTAGCTTATGTTTTCATTTTAAGTTATAACTTGATTAAGAAAAATTATTAATTTAATATGCACAAATACATCCATTTTTTTCTTAAACCTGCAGCATTTTTGTGTCGTGTTTATCCAGTCTTTCCAATCTTTACTACTTGTTACTACTCTGGTGAATATTCTCATGTATGTAGTAGTCACTGCCTGTTGATTCTCATAGGCTTTCTTCACTCTCCTCCTATACTTTTCTCCTACATCAAAGAGGGCTGGCTCCTCAGACTGCATTCCCAAGCTAACTTCCCATTTGTTTGCTCAGCTTATTCAGCAAAATGCACTAGTGGGCAACAGGAAAGCAAAATAGCTAAAGAGTCAGGTAATTTCTACCCATCTCCCTGCTTTGGGTACCATCTATGAGATGAGTACCTGCATGTACCCCCTGGCTTTATCTCTCACTGGATAGGGCTAGTATGATTAGATTCTAGGCCAGATAATTTCATTTCCTAGGCTTTAATGTTGCTGTATCTTCCAGAAAGTATGAGAGTACTTTGTTACTCGTTTTTGGGAGAGCTTGGGGATATCTTCATGTGCAGATAACATTAACTTTTTGAACAGTGAGTTAAATATTGGTAAAATGCTGTGGATGGAGGATGAGTAGCAAAAGGGGTGGACTTCATTTGACTGTTTATGCTCAGATTTATTCATTACCCATGCTTTTTTTGTGCTGTATAAACTCTGTTTCCCAAGCTCCCTAGTCTACTAGCTTCTGGCTGGATTTAACCAGTGTTAGGCACCGGATGAAACTGGAGAGGAAAGAAGGAAGAGTGAAAACAGATTATTACCCACTGCTGCTGGGCCTTGGCTACATCTCCTCAACATGTCAAATGCCCAAAGGGCAAATCTACAGTTACAGGTTCTTTTAGGTAACCAAACTTTTTGGCGTTTATTGGCTTCTTTTTGTTGCTAGTTTATGTTCCATT